CAGAGTTCTAACATGTATAGCTTCACAGTTCCAGGGAGGGAGGTGGTCAAATTATTATTTAATACTACCAAATCACAAGGCAGACTGTAAAAGCACTAAATATTCAATAAATATATTAGCACTGAATATTTTATAAATCATGCCTATGAACAAGTCTGATCATATTCAATCAAATGAGTTTTAAGAATCACAGTATGAAGTACATATCTTTGTCAATTAATGTGTACATGATACAATTGTTTCTGAATAAACTAAAATTTATTTTCCAGTTTTCATAATAAGATTGACTTTTTTGAAATTTAGAAATAAAGCTCTAGCCCTATTTTTCTCCTACTCTGATCTAGTGAGTATTACCAGGTATAATTTTTTTATTCTAGTAAAACACAGTTTCATTCCTTTTAAATTACCAAAAACCAACTTCTTATAGGAGGTTTTGCTACCCTGGACTCCCTTTAACATTTTATCAAGTAAAAAAATACATAAACTGTAAAACAATTTTTTCTAAACTTTAAAATATTACAAAATCATATATATATCACCTTAAAGCTGGAACTTTCTTTCTCATGATCTATTTGCTATATAGTTCTCTTTCTTTTTTGTAGGTATTGTAGTTATCTAAACTGTTAGTTACCACATACCCTTGTGTAATGTAATTATATCATGGTTATTTATGTATAGTTCACAAATGTAATTAAACTTAACAGTTTCCATGTTCATTTTTTAAAGTAATTACATTGCATGGTGATTTCACATCACAATTTGAAATTATGGATTTTAAAGATGAATTTTGCCCCAGTATGTGTTTAGACCATTTCTGAAAGGAGTACAGAGGTTACTTTTACAAATAAGATAAATACTACTATCTATACTGGTTTTAATTATACATATTTCATTTCAAAATTTCTTTAACCAATATGTACTAGTGAAGGATGTCACAACACCTGTGATTGTATTGTTGCTAACATAAGTGCAAGACATAGCTTTCAGGTCACTGCTTATGGGCATGCTGCTTAATGAGTACAGAGATACTTAATTATTTTCCACACTGAGCCACTTTAGATAATGACCATAAAGCCAAGGCTTGGGCCTGAGGTTGTTGGGGAAATGAACATCCACATAGTTTTATTTGATTTAGCAATATCTGATCACAGCACATGGGCCACAAATAAGGCTTTCAAGAAACTGACATAGCCCACAAGGCATCTATTGAAGACCAATGGCATACACAGTAGTTTTAATAATAAATGATAAGTTTAACAAAAAATTTTTAATTAAGTTAAAAAATGTTTATGTTTAAAGTGTATGTTTCACATATTTCGAGTTAGACAATTAGTGGAACCTGATCACTGTTTGCCTCATTAACTTGGTGGATTACAAAGACCTAGTAACCACCAAGTAATTATGAGAGTATCCCTACTCTAAGTTTTAATATTGTACGTGTATATTCACAAAATATGTCGAGCTTTCAGTAATCATTACCAGACTTTCGTACACAAAATCAGAATTTTTAGGTTAGTATTCTTACTAAAGATTTGTATGCAAATATATATAATCGGAGTGCTGAGTGCAAAGTGATTTTCAAACTTCATTTTCATAAACTCTAAAAGTTTCTAAATAAATATCAAATGTTTCCTTTCCATAAAACTTTATATTTTATCTATTATTTTCTCTAACCTACCTCTATACAAACTTAGTTTGCCCAACCTTGTAACCACCACAAAAAATACTAAATAAATCTAAATTACTTTTTTCATTCTAAAACCTGTGCACATTGTAACAGACAATTACACAATATTTACTTTTACAGCCTAAGCTAATAGATTTTTTAATTTAGTTTACTTGCAGTTGAACTCTGATCCTCTCAGACTACGACAATAGCAATTTATTACGCCAGGCAGCTTTGTGTTAACTATGGATCCTCTTAGAAGAATGCTCATGTTGAGTTACACGACTGTGCTAAAGCTTAGTGCATGATATCATTGATCATTAGTATTTTACCTCATTTTAAATTACTTCTAATTATTACATTTTAGTTAATTTTATAAACAACAGATACATATAATAAGCTATTTTACTACTCACATCTAAAATATTCTTTTCAAGGTTTTGAACTCGTAAAATTAAGTCAACGTCAAAACGCATTCCTAATTTAATGTAACGATGATGTGATCTGAGAATATATAATTTCAATTATCCAACTTAGAATATAAAATATTTCCATGCACATATAAAATAGAATGTCCTAAGATCTATATAATTTATGTGGCTTTCTAACTAAAACAGAACTGGCTTAAAATAATTATCATACCTAGTCATCTCCAACAGAGGTATTCAAAGAGCAATGCCAAAATTTGCTTAGCCTTTAGACTCCATAGCTGTCATTTAACTTTCTATTAGTTACAAATAATACAATACAGTAAGTGAGAGAGAATATTTATGACAATTTTTGAAAACAGGATGCTTTGTGGGAGGCATGGTATGTGGCACTTGCTTTGTTGTTTATATCTCCATAAAACAGTTTTCTCACTACAAGTTGACAGTTTAGCTTGGAGATATGTATAAGAAATTTCACATTTACAATGCTTTAAAAGGGGAAGCAGAAAATGTTAAAATGAATATATATTTTAAATATGAAATTAACATTTACATATTAAAATTTGAGCTGTAAACTATGTTTGAATGTCAAGTTTATTGATATATTGAAAATATAGTAGTTTAAATTTTGAATGCAATTCTTAAAATGTTCTGATGTATATTTTGTACTACTCATATCAAAAGGATTAATCAATTACATTCAATTGATTATGCTCACGAAACTTAAATAGTTGGAATAATCAAAAACACTGATTTTGATTGGTTGATTATTTTCCTGATTTGTGAAAGGGTTAACTTTAGCTTTAAGACAGTCACTGGTGAAACAGCAGTGTTGAAACTCAGTGAGTTAAGCCTTACCAAAACATCGTAGCATATTTCTCTTAATTCTTTTTCAACTTTTTCACGGTATTCTTTGGCCATTTGTTGTTTTCTTTCACTCCCTTCAGTTTTCTGTTCTATACTGGAAATAACTCTCCAGGAACTTCTTCTTGCCCCTACAACATTCTTATATGCAACAGACAGCAAATTTCTCTCTTCATTGCTTAATTCCACACCCATTTCAGTAACTTGTTTCATCGCTGCAGCCATATCGTCATACCTCTCGGCCTGCTCTGCAAGTTTAGCTCGCTGCACCAGTTCGTCTTTATCCATTTTACAGATATTTTATACTGAAAGCATAAAGACAAAAATTTACAAAGGAAAATATTATCTCCCAAATAATCTAGTCCTAACTTCTTTATAAAGTACTCCCATGTCAGTTGTCTGATATGATCATGACACAAACTTCAGGCAATTACATTATTATGCTTTTTAAAAGTTATTGGGTAGTTATTGCATGTTTTCAATCACACATTTTGTATTGCAGTAAAATTGTATGCTTAGTTTTTTTTAAGCAAAATTTATAAAATAATGTATGATTGCAAGTATATTGTGCTGAACTATAAATTAGAATTTTTCACACAAATAAGAACCACTCATTCAACTAACTTAAATAAGCTTTCCATGAATAAATCATTTTATTAAATGTATACTTTTAATCATAAAATATTTCCAAGTTGTAGGCTATTTTTAGTTTGTAAAAGCTGTACCTTTGTATGTGATCAGATTCAGGCACATTTTGTGAATCTAACCTACTTATATTTGTTTTAATGCCAAAACAAACAGCATTTACTTAAAATTTTGTAACTACACATAGATAAAAGCAAACTTTATACATGTATAACAGAACTATGCAGGAAAAACCATTATTTTTCTGAGTAGGGAGTATACAGGTTTATATAATCATAATTTTTGAATAAAATTGTAGTTATTACTTTATATAAAGAGTATGCCCTAACCTCATATAACAGTTTCAAACATGAAGTCAAACATATTTAAAATGCTCTCAACTCTTATGTCAAAAGATATTTTTAAAAGCTTGCATTTCATTAATGGCATTCTACAGCGACATTTACAGCCTACATCAGACCCCCTTAGCACTTCAGGTTTTCCAGATCCATTGAGTTAACAGCCATTAATCACTCTGGACAGTGCAATATTGGTGTCATTTTCAGAAGTTAGTTTCTGGTGCTGTAGTCATGATAATATAAGCTGTTTTTATTAAAATCTTCATGGTAAAGTTACCGTCAATTAATTCAAAGAAACATCGATGTAGAAGTGTTTTAAATCTTGTGCATTGAACACAAAGACCCAATATTTATACTAAAATATTAGTTCTTGGACAGCAACAGAACATAAATTATGAAATAAGACTTCCTAGCAAAATAATAAATTTAAAAATTAAAGATAGAATAAAGCACATTTTTTATATTTTAATATAAAATTTCACTTTATCGTGCAGTTTCTTAACTTTGATTCAAAATTTGAATTTGATATTTGTTCGCATTTATGTGTAAATGTAATTAAGTGTCGTGTTACCACTAGCTGACTAAGCACTACAGATGTTTTTAAAACACAGTTTGTAACGCGATACACGTCTGATGCAATATTATGATAATATTTTATTTATATCGGCTCATCCCTACTAAAATTTACAGACTAAAGTCAGCAAAATGGCGGCAAAGACATTAGCTTAATCATGATTAAGAGTCTAGTGTAGGCCTAAGCCTCAAGTTAAATTTATATTTCTAACGAAGCACTTAATCAAATATACTTTACAATGAAAGTGAAAAGTGATAAACTGATTTTGTGATCATTTGAAATAGTTGTAATAAAATTAACTTTTTATCTAACGTACATATTTTAAACTATAAAAGTATAAGTATAACGCATGCTAGTTTCATAATCAACAAATTTACCAAATGGCCTAGTAGTGGTATGTGGTAAAGACGTTCTCCGACTTTGTACGACTTCAGCCGGCCTGGAAGATTATTACGACTACGGGGATACAGAAGTAATGACAGAAATAATGACGTTACCAGTTGCTTGGTGACAGGTACAGGGAATGCTCGGTGTGAGTAAATCAGAGTAAATTACTTTAGTAGTTACACACTAAACAAATAATACGGAAATTACTTAATCACACAACGAAGTTTCACTAAAATGAAGTAAGAAAGAAAACTTAAAGTAATTCTACTTAAAAAATGGTAAACAGAAGGAAAGAAGAAAGTAATTCATAAACGCATAACATACATATTTAAACAATTTCATTATTAACAACAATGAACATGTTATGAGTAAGACAGAAGTTAATAAATACTTAGATTATGTAGATAGTAAAAATTTTATTACTCCCAGCAATAAAGCAGCTAACAACTATGCTTTCATTTGTAATTCATGTACGCAGGAGGGAGGGGGTTCGGTCGAACCCCCTATATTTGTGATTTAAATAAATTATGCTTATATAGTTATTGCGCGGTTGCTTATGGTATTGTTATGCCTCTGTTCGTTTGTTAATTTTCCGTAAAAATTCTTTCCGAAGAAACTTTAGCGATACAAGTCATTTCTTAAATAAAACTAGTTTATTCCTTCTCAATACAACTTTGCAATACACTTAATTTCCACAGTCACGCTATAACTTAAACAAACGCCATAATTCACAATGAACGAATGATTCACGCGCTTGACTCAATTATTGTCTCTTATCTCGGTCTGCAATTCAATTACATTGTTGCCGTCACTTCTTGGCGGTCTTATATACAAGAATACCGCACATCTAGTAAACACTCGAGGCTTCACGAAGGGACATAAATTTTCTAGAAGCTCATGAAATTTAATGAATTCTCATACAAAACAAATCTTACTAATAAAAACTGTATTAAAGCTTTGCACATCAGTTGTGCTTGTAGATATATATTGATAATATTCTTATACCGAATTATGAAGGTTTTCCTGACAACACCTGACACAACTGTCCCCCTGTGGGACAATGGTAAGTCTACAGAATAAAAACACCAAAATTCTGGGTTCAATTTCCCGCAGTGGATACAGCAGAAAGCCCATTTGTGTTTACTAAAGTAAAGCATTGAATTACTAGATTGACTAAAAGATCTTGAAATTGTTGAGGAAAGATTTTTTTTTATCAATAGGAAGAAAAGTGTAAATAATACTATAACAAAACAATTGACACAACTGAACCAATTTATCTATCAGAACTCACTTTGGAAAAACGCTCTTTAACTAAAAATAGAGCACACTACCTTAATCAAACATTCAAGCTCAAAATTTTCAATAAAATTGACACTTTTATCTCCGAATGATTAACTTTCCACTTCCAAATTATTCCATATAACTTATGTTGCAATGTTTAATAATTACTGCTTATTAGATACAATGGAATTTGTTCTACATTACAAGACATTGAGACAAAGCTTATAAACTCACTCTCATTTTTCACAAATGAGGTTTCTCCTATTGTATTTTGAACACCAAGTCCATTCAATTTTACCAAAATATTCAATGACATTCTTGCTACTTATTAATGATTCAAAAGTTTTACAGAACATTAGATGTTACTACTGTATGTAAGCTGATATGCAGTAGTAACAGCACGAGTATTAATCCTGGCTGACTTGAATTTTAACTGAAAGTCTTAGTTTGGCTGAATTCTGCTATTGATAATTTATTTCATGATGCCTGAAATGATAACTGAGTTAGCTTAATTGCTGCTATATGGTAACACCTTCATTGATGAAAAATAGCTTTGGACTGAATTAGCTTGGTTGTTGTTGAGCACAGAATGAGTTATCTGTGATCTGCCTACCACGGGTATCAAAACCCGAATCTTAAGTTACCACTGAATCACTGGGAGGTGGGGTAATAGGTTTGAATAGTAACCTGAGAAGGTTACTAAAGTGATTCATGCCAGAGATAGAGGCAATCTGTTATAAGGTACTTGAGTATATGACAATATGTATTGGTAGTATATGTATATAGCAATATATGTGGATAGGCAAATGATTAATGAGTATTATGTATTATGAACTGATCTATTACGCAGCAGTAAGCAACATGTGCATGGAAACAAATGATTTGATATTGATGTTGAGGCTGTGATATGAAGCTAATTGTGATAACTAACCTGAAAAACATTGTTTGAAAATATAGTGAAAACCTGTTATTTTCCATAATGTTAGTAAAAGAATATTTCAGTTTAGAAAGGTAGTGAATTTTATTGGAAGAGGTAATACTAACAAAGCGTCTCACGCTATGTCTGAGAGAAAGCGTTGTTTTATCAGGTGTTTCTCATGAAAAGTAGAGTAAGTTGTTTCAATTGTTATGAATTGAAATATTCATGAGTGTGAAGTCATAAACACAGACTATGTTGATATTCCAGGGCTCAAGCACCTGCCTGAACTAATTAGCAGATGCTCAGCACCCATGCCCACAGTCATTTTAGTTTTACATGATACATCTATTTATGATCTAAGTTATATAAGAAAAACAACTTTGCTCTGAAACCATACTTTTACAATGGTACTACTATATAGCAATAGCACATTATATGGCTACACACTGTAAAACTGGGAGACAGAATTAGACTAGTGCACCTTAATTTATGGTAAGGTAATGCAAGTGAGTTGAGCCAGGGTGAAACAAAATGGGTAAATTTGTGTTTAAAATCACTATGGGGGAACTTCAGGAACCAAAAGCATTTCAGAAATACAGTAGAACCTGCAGTTAGAGCTGATGATTTAACTGCTGAATTTACTACTGAATATGTTGAATAACAACGAGAATAAACAAAAAGGGAGACATTTTCAAGAAAGCTAGGTAACACTGTATCCTGTTCTGTATACTACAAGGCTGTTGCTGCTGGACATTACCTCCCATCTACAAGGAGGGATAAAGAATCATTAGCAGCTTTTGTGAATAATGGTTTTTGCTTATATAAATAACTTTAGAAAGATTAACATCCAACAAAATGTCTTACATACATCATGCTGCTGATCAGAGTGTATTTGCATCTGAAAAGGGGGAACATCTGGGTAGTCTTATGATAGTAAGCAAGAAACATGATATACAGCAAGAAAGTGTTTCAATGCTGAAATAATAACTTTTTTGTAGCCCAGCATGGCGAGGTAGTTAGGGCGCTCGACTCGCAATCTGAAGGTTGCGGGTTCGAATCCCCGTCCCATCAAACATGCTCGCCCTTTCAGCCGTGGGGGCGTTATAATGTGACGGGAAATCCCACTATTCGTTGGTAAAAGAGTAGCCCAATAGTTGGCGGTGTGTGGTGATGACTAGCTGCCTTCCCTTTAGTCTTACACTACTAAATTAGGAACGGTTAGTGAAGATAGCCCTCGTGTAGTTTTGCTCAAAATTAAAAACAAACAAACTTTTTGAAGATTTTAGCGGCACCAAAAGTGGTCTTGTGTGGACACACAAATGAAAATTTGAATTTTGCTCAATTGCTATGTGTACATACTGAAGATATTCCTGAGTTTAAAAATGGCTACAGTGAATGTCTTACAAATGGATGTCTCATGAAATCATTAATGAAATACTTATTCTGTAAAATGTAGTGCTACAAAGCTGTGCAATTTTGTACAGCAGATAGTTCTGTTAAAAGCATTCATCTTTTTCAGGGTTGTTAAAGAAGATTTTTCTGTTTATGAGCTTTTTTTATATTTCATGGTACACCTCTGACTGGTGCTAATACATTATTTAGCATTTTAAAGGATGCACTGTTACAGCTCAATTCTGGCATAAAAAAATGTGATGGGGTTGCAAATGCTAGTAGTTGCCATCTGGAGCACAGGCTAGGGTCAAGCATGAAGAAACAATAGCTGTGTGTGTGTGCATTGTATGGTACCATTCACCAAACTTGGTTGTGTGAGATGTTATGCAACAAATACAGCCTTTTTGGAACTTCTTATTTGGAATGCTGGGGTCAATAGTTTGTATTAGAAGCTCTCAAAAAAGCTGGCCAACTTTAAGACTTTATAAGAAGTGAAAGCTCCTGCACAACATTTTTTTCCTCTTATGCCTCACAAGATGGTGTTTATTCATAATATCCCCGAGATCAGGCTTCAAACTATGATACACAACTGACATTTATGAGGAAATTTACAGCACTAGTTTATTTGATACTGGGGCAAAAGCAATGGAGTTGTTACTCAACTTCATAAGTTTGATACATTTTTCAATGTGCATCTGTTTCGACTTATTTTTGAACCAGTAGATTCAGTTAACACCAGACTATAAAAGAACATCCTCATTTTCAAAAAGTGCAGGATTGGATATACAAGACTATATATTGTAAGTATTATTATTTAGTTTATTTTGTAACTTAATATTTAATAATTGTTTAATTTTTAAGAGACGAGTGTTGAAGATGGATTGTTTTAAGAGTGCTAGTTGTGACAAATTTCGTAACTCTGTATGAGTCGTATATTGTGTTTGCAATTACATTGTTGTCTAGGCTCTACTAATATTGTTGACGTCACATTACTCGAATCTTCGGTATTTTTCTCGTTACCTTAACTGAGTATTGTTTCATTATAGCGCCGCTCGCGTAATTTGTCGAAAATTCGAGGCCTCATTGATTGTTATATAAATATAGGTACTAGCGAGTGCAACTTAAGTGAAGTAGAGAAAAAGTAAGTGTAGTTCAGTCAGAAAATTAGTTAGCGGAAGAAAACGTGAAGTTAGCTGGTGTGTGAGTGATTAGCCATAACAGAAGACATTTTAAAGTGAGTTTCACAGTTTAATAGAGATAAGGACAATAATTTGTCTTGTCAAAGGGTGTTCTAAAGTAACTGAAACCGTGTGTGTGGACTTTGACGAAAAGGAGACAGTTATTTAAAATTCGAGATACAACTGCGATAACCCATAGGGTAATGTAAGTGAATTATTCTCTGATAGGAGTAGAGAAAAACAATTCGTCTTGTCAATTGGATTCTAAAGTAATTGAATTAGTATTAGTGGACATTTAACAAGAAAAGAGAATTATTTAGATTTAGATAAAACTGTGATTTTCTATAATGTGAAGAATTTTTGTATATA